ATTGTTGTTGGGGGCAATATGCTGACTCTGTAAACCGCTTAGAGAGGGCTGAAAGCCCTATGAAGCGGTATATAAGTCTAACTATTGCTATTGCTGTATTCTGTATTTGGGAACCTGAAAATATTATTGAAGAGTTTATAGAGATGCAATAAATAAATAAATGAATACATACATATGAGGGTAATCCTGCCCTTACACAAATGTCATGTGAACTATTTAGACCAGTAATGGCTAACCATTTCTGACCGAGTGCCAAAAGCGTGTGCATGCCCAACCCCCCAAAATGCAATGCAGGTATGCCCCCTGCGCATGCGCCTTGCCCCCGCACATGTGCATCCCCTGATCCCCCATATATGCATGTTCCCCCTGCAGTGCCTCCCCTGCACGTGCATGGCAGAAACCTGATGACTGGCTGGCGGGAGATACTGCGCATGCGCGGTGGAGCTAAACTGGCACAACAGCTGGTGTGCCCACAGAGAGGGTGCTGAGGCCACACATTTGTTAAACATCATTATGGCACCAAGAAACCTATAGATTTTATCATTTAGCTACTAGGGCCATGAGAAATAAGACCCCTAGCCCAACACAGCTGCAGTTGCTCCATATGGGAGAATAGCTATTCTGAAAGGTTTTTAAGCCTCAGGATAAGGATAACAATAAAAAAGGTACAAAGAATCAGCAATATTTTCACTGTTTGCTTTTCCTACCAGTATTTCCTACTGGTGCCAATCTTGCTAAGAGCTTTGTGGATACAACACACTGCCTCATGGGAAGTGAACTCATTTACTGAAGTAGCCTAGTTTCCTGGGTAGGCACAATACATGGAGCTGTAAATTAGCCAACCACATGTTGATCTAGTATCACAAATGAAGCCAATTTAAATATGGTTGTTAAGAGGACAATTTTGATCCTGAGAATATTACCAATTCTAGGAGAGGTTCTAAGAGGATTCTAACACAGGATGGGAAGCAATTTCAACCACACTCTGGTAGCCCACCTCTCTAAGAGAAAAGGTCTCAATAACGACCCATAGAATCTTCTCACAACAGCTACTTTTAATCTGGCAGCACCACTTTCTATCTATGAGAGGGATAGGGCAAGAGATAAGGNTAGTGTAGAATAGAATAGATGGGGGAACGGAACGAGTGAGCTAGCAGCGGTTGATGATGGGCGGGGGAGCCAGCGAGCGCCAAAATAAAGCGGGGGGTTTTGAGAACCGGGCGGGATGCGGGAAAAATGATGAAAAGTCGTGCCTGTCCTGCCAAATGCAGGACGTCTGGTCACCTAATTTAAATGGCTGGGAGCACTGGAATGTTTTCTAAGCAGTGTGATTTTTTTCAATATACTGTGTTCTTTCTGTTCTGAAATTTGGCGAGAGGTGCCCCGCCTGCATTCAAACAAACAAACAAACATAGAAACGAACAAACAAACTCCGACTTGAATGCAGAGTGTGTATTAAGATTTCATTAAAACTTATTTGCAAGAAACCTCTATAGCAACGTTAGTCCCAGGCTGGTTTGTTTGTTTGTTTGCTTGCTTGCTTGCTTGCTGAACCTTCTTTTCCAATGACGAAGCTGTCGGGAGATGTCTGTGAATGTGTTTTGTATTAATCCTGTCTATTGCAATCAGAATCCAGTCTCGTCTTCTCTCTTAGATTCCACTTCTCGGGAGTCTAAAATTAAAAAAGAGGGGGTGTGAGGGGAGATGATCTTACTACAGAAGTTTTATTAAAGTTTCAGATGATCCTGACACATGACGTGAGGAAAATAGAATGTTTTCACTGAAAAAGAACAGTCTTATACAGCTAATTTTGTTATTTTGCTATCAAATGGGTATTGTTTTGTTATCTAATCTTTTTTAATGTTTTTTTTATTTAGAATTGCAAATGTGAAATCTCAGTCACAGTGAGTCTTATTTCACTTCCTGCTACTTTTTTATGTTATTGCTTATAGTCATAATTTTAGTTACAGATATAAAAAGACCTGATACTGAGCCAAGGTGGCGCAGTGGTTAAATGCAGCTCTGCAGGCTACTTCAGCTGACTGCAGTTCAGCAGTTCGGCTGTTCAAATCCCACCAGGCTCAAGGTTGACTCAGCCTTCCATCCTTCCGAGGTGGGTAAAATGAGGACC